ATACAAGTTGTTTGTCTTCTAATTTCGATATTTAGCGAGTTAACTATGATTAATCGGCATTTTATAGGTCCTGAGGAAATCCGGCCGTCGCACCGTCGATCACCATAGTGTCACCACTATAATTTTTCAAAAAACCCATAAATTGATATAAAAATTTGCAGGTAGCTTCTTAATAGTAATGGGAATGTATAATAACAAATTCAGCATGTTAGCATTGTTTAAATACGTAGCTTATACATCCTTAACGAGAGACCGAGTTTTCCTTTAAAGAACGCAATAGAAAGTTGGATTCTTTGTCGCTGCCGAAGCTCGAATCCCTCGTTCCTCTTTGGCTCATTTTTTTGATAAAAAGTTCCTGACGAACGGCAATGACGAGACTTCGGCTGGATGGATCTCCAATTAAGTCACATTGAAAATGTCAGATTCAGGATGATTCGTACATGAGCAATCGATGGTGATTTTTTAAATATAGTGGAGACAGAGTTGTTATCGATGCAATCAGTAAATAGCTTTAAAGCTCTCGGAGGATTTCGTAAGGCAGCATCCTTGAGGGTTACCGCATACCAGCCACAGGTTGTCGTCCTCGTTCGCTTAAATCGACCTATTAACCCCCTTATTCAGTGCTTCCTAAGCGAAATCACAGAATTTCGACCGAGTTCACCGGGAATTCCGTTTCGTTGAACATCTAAAGAACGCGTCTATTCATTTCTTTTCTCCCTTTCAATCGTTCGAATTTTTCAGCTCTTCAAACCGCAATCTCCAACGAATTTCTGTCCTTTTGATTATCAGACGAATATCAACATTCTCTTTCCCTCAAGTCGTTCGATCTTGTATCAATTCAATAAGGCATTATTTTTATCAGAACTAATTTCCATTTTCCTCTCCCGAAAACCATTTCGTAGAAACTTGTTGAATTTCGTTATACCGAGTTATGATTATAACTTATAGTATCGAGTTATTTCTGGGTTAATCTTCGCCAGATGTGCTTCCTCTTTGTTTTCCTACGTTTATGTAACTTCACCGTATACACTTTATGCATCGATGACTGCGCTCTCGTATCGCCGCTTCCGAACTCGAAATTTGCGTGGAAAATAAGGTAGGTCGAACGAGTTCCCGCGGAGAATGGCGAAGGTGTTATCAGTGACAGGTCTTATCGAGACGTCCTAAGACAGGCTCCATCGATTCTCTCGCTTGGAATCAATATCCAGAGCCCAGAGCCCACGAAGCACAATGCTAGCACGTGAGCAAATAATGTTTGGACCAGTCACTGCTCTTTGAATTCTACTGGAAAAGTTTCACTCGGGAATGCATTGATTCTTGAATACGCCATAAGTACGCTCGTGGATTTTTATGCCCTTCTGCATATAAATGATGTGCCGCGTACAATTCTTGAATTTCTTAGATTAAATGTACGAGACAATTAATTAAAACGCAATTAACTGAATTCTTAAGGTTTTGTTGGATAGTGTAATGTCTTGAAAAAATATTTTCCACCCTTTTGTTGTACTCTTTTTCGCTTTATCCTTGTTTTCAAAGTGTTCTGCGCTCCCAAGGTAGCGGTTTTCTATTGAGTACCACTCTATAAGACATTCCTTGAAAGTTCCACGTTATTGATTATCGTTGGAATTCGACAGCCGAACGCTGTGACTTTTCCGAATTAATACATGGTCCCAGAACATATTTTTCCTCTGACCATGAGACATCTCGTTTGGAATGAATAGATTTAATCTGCCGTACCAACAACGATAGATAGATTTAGTTTACTAAGAATGATAAGGCAATAAATAGCTTTGCGATACACATGACATTTCGTGACGCATGCAATGATACTTTGTCCAGGTATGGGGAGCGTCGTAGGCAGCAACGTAACCGCGGACTCGACGACGTTCCTGCCGGATGCGACGTCGACCCTCAGCGAACGAGAGCAACTGAAAATTGAATTCTACAAGACGTACGACGTGATGACCGGGGTCAGAATCGCGGCGACTCTCGGTGGTTTTTTCGGTCTCATGATCCTCCTGCTTGTTTATAAAAGCAGGCAAGTTTCATCTCCATCCGCGAACCGTTACTCCGCTCTTCTGCAGAATCTAATTTTAGAATCGAAACTTCCCCGGTATTCATAAATTTCTGAAAACTGCCACCGCGTGTGCCTTTTAAAAGTGGCCAGACTTTGTTTCATGGGCACGTGGCTCCGAACGTGTTTTCAAAGTTAATCTGAGTTTCCCAACCTTTTTCAAAATTCATCGACCCCCCGGAAAGAAATAATTAAACTCTGCGTAAAGGATGTGTTTCAATTTAGGCGAAGCAAAGTGAATACGGGGTGTCTCCAAAATTATAAGCAGTCCTTTCGTGAGTCTCGGGAGGTTCGAAGAAAAGATTGTTTTTCATAAAGTCGGGAAGGGTATAAATAAAGGATGAAAAGGGTAAAAGAAGGGTTGTGTGGAACAGGTGTAAATCGAGCAAGCAGTTGGATGATCCGAGACTGACCGCAGCAGCGGCTGCGGCGGTGGCTGAAGCAGAGGCCGAGGAAAGAGCTCTCGCAGCCCACCTCGAAGCAATCGCCAGATTACCCCCCAGGCCGGATCGGGGTCCCAGAAGATCCCTTTGCGTTGAGGTCAGTCCAATCACCAAATCAATTCAATTATCGACTACCGTTTCCGTATCATTGACCGCGGTTTTAATAGAAAAATGCACACGTAGCACATTTTTAACTTGGAAGCTGACGAGAGCCTCAGGCGAAAAGAGCGATTATTCATAAAATAAATTGTCGATTTTATGAGAACGAGGGTGTGCTCTGGTTAAAGGTGACTCAATCTCATTTGCCAAGAATCGGGCCGCGATTCGCGTCGGTCGGGGGTGGCTACGAGGCTCTCTTAACTCCGCCGATGAAGCACCCGAGGCTGATGCTTCCGGAGGAACAAAGGAGATGCAGTTCGGTAACGTGTAGCAGCACCGGGAGCAGTTATCTCGAGAGGAGAGGGTCCGCAATGCCAGTACCGTGTTTGCCGCTTCATCCTACATACTCGACGAAACACTCTGCCCACGACGAACCCTGGGACCTTTATTACCCCATCGACATTCAGGTAATCGTTACATACAATTTCCTTCGATCGCTGGCAATTAACACTTGAGATAAACCCGTTGGAACAACGATTCTAGAGATGAAGTAGTTTTTTAATAAATAAACGTTTGGCGATTTATAACACGCTCCCCGTAATTTGTACGTAGGTAATCCAACCAACGCCAGAGCTTTCTCCATGCACGAGCGAGGCAGGTCTGTACGCGAACGAGATAATGATCACGGGTACTTCCGGTAAAAGAGCACCGTTGGCTTCCATGGGTAGCGTCGATCCCCCGGAACCAGACTCAAGGTCAGCTCCCCCAGAAATTTTTAACTCCACAATAGATTGATTGTGTAAAATGCAAAGTGAAGCACGGTTTTTGAATTATTAGTTAAAGACGTGAAAAATGCTTGAAACGAAAGTTGTGCACACCCTGTATGTGCAGAATAACTTTGCCAGAACCCTTTTTTTCTAACTTTGACTCGTTTACGTTGCACGTGTGTGAATTTATAGTCTGAATTGTTTAAGGTCGCTGGGTTCCGACTCGGTCTTCCTGAGGAGCACTGAGCAGGACGAGTGCCTCGACACGGAGGACGAGGTATCCGGTTTCTCGACCGACTCCGAGGCACCCGGGCCGAGCTGTCGACAGTTCCTTCGAGTACCCAAGAAGAGGAAGAAAATAGTCGAGAAATGGGATGGTTGCGCTGGATGCGTTCCTAGACGACGGCCTGGAGGCAAACCTTGTCAAACTTGCCATAGCATCAGCGCGGCCGTTGAAACTTCTAGGTATCCCTCTTAATAGATCTTCATTCATTTCATAGAATAAATCAATATGAACTTGTTTGTGCGCAATGTGAGTACAAACTAGTATACAGGAAGGAATTCACTTTTGCATTTCACTTCTGATCTTCTGTATGTGTTCAATTTGCTCATCCACATAAATATACTAATTAATATGTTTGAAAGTGTAACAATAATTTAGCCACTGCTCTCGTGAATATGTAGCCCCGAACGTTTTGGTGACAGGTCTCGAGCAGTCTCAATGAGTACCAGTAGCCAAAGCAGCCACACCTCTCCACCCTGTTCGCCATCCATCGAGCTTAGGCATAGGCCACCCCCGTCTCCTTTACCATCGAGTCCACCCGTCTGGTCGCAGGAGACGCTCTTTTAGTTCTCGGAGGATTGTCAAAAGTAGAACGAGCAGTAATCGCACAAAAGTATTCCTTCCGCGGGAGCACGTGAAAACTAGGAACGATCGGGTGACTTCACAAAAAGGAGAATCAAAAGCCCGGAAATCTTGATGCTATTAACTCGGACAAAAGGGAACTGTAGTAAGAAGAAAGAGAACGGCCGTGGGTTAGAAAGAAACGGAATTACGTGATGGAAAATTTGCAAAATGACTTTAAAAAAAAGTGAGAAAAGAAGAACGATATTTTGAAAGGGCGGAAGATCTTGGAGATGAACAGACTTCGTCGGAAAAAGTCGCGAGCATTAAGGGAAAGGAGAACGCTATAAAAATGTCTAAAAAATTGTAATTAGGTGTAGAATTAATAAAGGATATACAAGTATCGAAACGTTAACGAAAGGCAGGGGAAGGGTTGCAAGGAAACTAATAAGACCAGTGTTTGCGAGAACGAAGTAATGTTACGCAGTAAGTGGGTCAATAAGAAAAGGTGATGGCCAACTTTGTATAGTAACGTCTAAGAGAAAATGAGAAGCGAAATAAAAACTAACAGACTAATTAATCGTTAAACGAATTGTTGTAAAAAAAAGAGGAAAATGGTAGAGTACTATAGACATGTAACATTGTAAATAACAAACAAAAAAAGAGAAAAAATTCGGACTCCCTTTTTTCATATTCGAAAAAGAGAGGAGGAGCGAATGCAAAAGATGTTACGTTTGTATCGCGTTAGAGAGAATAAAATCAAAAGTTTTCATTTAAAAAAAAAAAAAAGACGTTGAACTAGTTGTGTGTGTAAACCAAAGGAAAAAATATACATGAAACAGTACTTCGACTACTCGTTGTGATTAACTTCTGATTTCGTTTCTTTTAATGTTCATCTATGTATATGTACGTACGATACGCGTAATCATAAAGGATAAAAGTTGGATTAACCGTGTCGGAAAATTTGAGGGGAATATATTCTGTACGAAGTTTATCAATCTTTCCGTTTCCGAAGAAATATTTTTTTACAAATAAAATTATTTTAATTAGGAAATGTGTTCACTCGATAGAGATTGATTTATTATTATATTGCGTACGTTTATTAATCGAATACATTTGTTAATAAAAGCTGAAAATAGTTTCACCTTCTTTCATTCGATTGAAATTCCGGAATTATTTTATCTTATTAATATCCACCGATTATTATTAACATCTTTCGTTTCGTGCTTGCTTAGTTGATTAATTAATGACGCTTTGATGACTGCCAATTAAGAAGCAGAAATCCTTCATGCGCGTATGCGAGCATGTATGAATGTATATACATATGTATGTACGCGTGTTATATACGTATATGAACGTACGCATGCAGTCATGTATAGAAAACTAGAAGAGTCGAAGCCAAATATAATTAATAGTGTTGTTTCCATTAATCGAGCCGCGTGTATCACCTCTGGCAGAAGATATATATTTTTTTATTTTATTCCTATTTATAATACTGTTATCTTTGTTTGTATAATTTAAGTTATACTGATTATTTCTTCGGTTAATCAATAGGAAGCATTTATCATGTGTTATTACGTTAAGACTAACAAGACCTAATTGAGTTTCTCGTTCATGTCTTTATTAAAAAAGAAAGATCAATGTAAACCCGACTATACGTTTAACGATTATGTTACAACGCGAAATTTCCGTCGGTGCCTTTCCGCCGGATCTTCTTCCATTATCATTTAGATAATATACACAGCATCGCAAGAGATGAGAATCAGGCCGAATGAAAAAGCGATAACGATTGAATTAACCATTCGGTTTAATGAACAGTAGTCATAGTGATGACAATCATAATCATAATCGTGATTATACTTGTCGCTGCGTAATTATTATACCGAGGAGAGAGAAATTATTTAAGGCAACAAATGTAAAGGGAAACGAACCAGATTTATTGCCTAACGAGAAAAAGAAAACAGAAAGCGATTATTATAACGACAGTGTCTAAAGATTGGAAATAAGAGATGTAAAACTAAAAAGGTAACAAAGAGGGTGCGTCTAAATTAGAGATGAAAAAGCGAGGAAAGAACGAGGGATAAACGGAGATTAAAATGCAACGGAGTGACTATAATGACGATCATGATCACGAGATAAAAAAACGGTCTGTCATTCTTTCGTATTGTTTTTAAACAACAAATCTTTCCTGATGTACGAACAATAAAACTTTCACCGTTTCCTACTATCATTTTCTTTCGTCACTTCCTCGCGTATGGATTTTCTTCTCCGATGGCAATAATTTCGACGTACAAAGCAGAGTTCGATTCAAACACCTATGATTCGACTTAATTTACTTATACGGAAAGGTCTGAAGCGGTCAAACTCCGATTTTAATCAAAGGCAGGCTTCGAAAACGTCTGTCCGGAGTTCGATCGTTCAAAACCATTTCCTTGTCAGAAGAATCGGTTCTATCGTCTCTTAACTTTCTTCTTTCTTCGCTGAGTTTCAATGCAGCGGATAAGCAAGAGTTAATAGAAATCATTTTCGTTTATATGAAAACAGTAGTATTTACGAGTCGATCTTCGTTGAAGATTTTTTATATGCGTTTTCCCAGGTACGAGTGATTTTTAACAATAATAATAACGAAAGTAATGATTATTCTTTCTACTGTTGTGTCTGTGTCTAAACTTCCGAGGAGCATTTTACAATGGGAGTGTGTACTCGACTAAACGCTGTTTATAACAATAATCTTTCCCTACCCGATACAACTCCACTTTTGCAATGAACGAGCAAGTAGCGAAATACTCATTTCCTTCACCACCGCGTCTCTATATTTTTTCAGATACCAAATAAAATGTACATGTTGAACATAAAACGTTGAAGTAAAATATCCTACACGATTTTCATTTTATTTTTAACACGCTAAGCGTCGTTCATGTATTAAAAATTAAATAGCTCAGAGCGTACATGCTATCTTATGTACCACTTAATATAATAATTATAATTAATGAAAAATTGACACTTCAGGTACAAATAACTGTATATAATAATATACAGATTGCGATAAGATTGTATAATATGAAACCGCACACGTAAGTTACTGCGATCTGTCGTGTCAAACCGGGTGACGATCTACGTGAATACTAATTCTAAACTCATTAAAAAGAAAGTCGGTTTGGCGCTTAACGTGTTAAGGTATAACCCAATATCAGCATTTTCGCAAATATATATATATATTTATATTTAACGAGAAATCTCTCTGTGAATAATTATTCTTTACCAAATTATGTAAATACGTGACCGATCAAATTTTATTCATAATGTTTGTCGTGTGACCGAATCGGTGTGACCGATAACCCACGATATTGATAACAGTAATTTTTGTTTAATACTACTCGAACATCAGTCGTCTTCGATCTTTCAAGACGCTTACTTGAGATCGAGTAAGCGTTACACGATTGAAGTTACAGGCTTTTAATAATAAAAATCTTATATGCATCGCGATCCAGCTAGTATAAATAAAATAGAATAAAATAAATCCGGACTGTAATTAAAATTAGATATATTTTTTTTTAATTTTTGGAGAGAGATTAGCGATGAACCTTGCACAATTTCTGACGAATGTCACCAACAGACGACGGTCGAGTATCATTCGTGAATGGGGTAAGAAAAATGTATTCTAGACGCGTGAAATATTTGAAGACGAGGTCTCATACTCGTTTCGTGTGAAATGCAGCGAAGAAATTCGTTAAAACTAAGAATGCAATCAGTTTGGCTGCTGGGATGCCAAATACGGAAACGTTTCCTTTCGAAGAGATTACTATTACGTATAAAAACGGGACTAAATCTAGATTGTTTGGCGACGAGCTGGCTTGGTCCCTTCAGTACGGACCTTCCCAAGGGTAATTTTTATACTTATTCAAAAGCCATATGAATACAAATTATCCTCGGTATAATTAACATCATTTCCTCGTCAATTTACTGTTCTTCCTTCATTCTTTTAAGATATCTACCATTATTAAATGAAATACGGAAGTTTCAAGAATACTGGCACAAACCGATGTACAATGATTGGGATTTAATTATTACATCGGGATCGATGGATGGTTGTTCCAAAGTGTTCGAAATGGTCTTGGAGGTCGGTGATCCCGTAATGGTTCAAATGCCAGCATACGATGGAATTTTGATCGCGGTAAAATCTAATCACCCATATAATTAACTGCTGCCTGACTTCTCATCCTTGAAAAATTTATTCTTCAACGTTGTCCATTATTAGCTAGCTCCGTTTGCACCAGAATTCATAGAAATCTCACAAGATCAGGATGGTATCGACCCCGAGAACATAATCGAAGTTTGCGAAGAAAGAATACGGACTGGTAGACCCGTGCCAAAAGTGAGTCATGATTTATTGAAACACCCTAATTCTGTTTGCCACGTGCTCGTCCCGATTGAGAGAAGTATATGTGTATCTTTATCGTAGATCATTTACGTGAATCCAACTGGAGCGAATCCGACGGGCACGGTTTTAACAGAATCCCGGAGACGGAAAGTTTACGAGTTGGCTGAGAAATACGATTTCTTGATAATCGAAGATGATCCTTACTGTTTCATACAGTTCGAGGATGAAAGACTGACGACGATGATCGAGTTGGATACGGTAGGTCGTGTGATACGTTTGGATTCCTTTAGCAAGATTTTTAGCGCCGGGCTCCGATTAGGCGTCGTCACGGCGCGCACGGAATTTATAAGAAAGCTGGAATTGCACATGCAGATGACGAATATTCACGCTTCCTCCCTGTCGCAGGTATCTCAACTATTCATTTAAATAATTAGAAAAGAATCGAAGTAACGAATAAAACAATTTATTTTTTCAAGATGTTGTTATATAAATTTCTAAATGCGTGGGACTTGCCAAAGTTGAGGGAACATTTCAATTACGTAAAAGACTTTTATCGCAAAAGACGCGACGTAATGCTGTCCTTAATTGAAAAACATCTCACAGGTACCTTCGATGTTTATATTCAGACATTGGTTTTTAAATGTATTCGGTTCTGTACGATTTACGATAAAATTAGGATTGGCGGAATGGAACGTTCCGAAGGGCGGCATGTTCGTTTGGATCACTGTAAATCAGGTAAAGGACGTGATGGCATTGACGACTGAGAAATGTGTATCTCAAGGTGTTTTCGTTCTTCCTGGTCATGCATTTAACTACAACCGCTCGAAACCAGAACAGCACATTAGACTTTCATTTAGTTATGCAACACCGGAACAAATCGATAAGGTCTTTAAATATTATTTAATCGATAATATTACTATGTATTTATCTAATCAGTGACGCTATTATCTAATAATCCACTTTTTTCTATATACATTTCCAGGCTTTGGCAATTCTCGCTAAACTGATACGCGAAGAAATAGCTAAATGTAAAGATCAACAAAATGCAGAGAACTGTTCCTGATTTTCTTCTAATTTTTATTATAACATATTACAGATACATTTTTAAATCCTAAATAATAATAATATCCTCTTAAATAATATCATCTCCTCTCTTGTCTGCGGCATTCATCGCATTGCTTTTCTAAAAAATACTATATATCCATTGAGCTCCATCCTGACCGGACCTAGCCTGAACTATGAGATGAGACAGAAGCGAGTTTAAGGAAGATCTGAAAGTCCTAAGATGAGTGAGTGATCATCTCGAGAAAGAATAAAAAGAAAGTCGTGTCGCTTCTTAGAATTTTATTTCTTTTCATTGTTGAAATTAATGTTCGAGCTATTGAAATCAATATCATCTCTTTCGAATCAAATTTATTGTAAAAGTGAATAT